CCCCCCGTCCCCCCGTCCCCCCCAGCCATGGCTTTTTGTCCAAATTATCATACAAAGAGACGCATCTATTCTCCGTGTGCCTTCGACGTCAGTTATACCCGATCGATAATAGTCGAATTCACTGGCGAGTTTAACAGCTCACCACTAGCCCTCTTTATTGTACACAAAACTGAATATCTTACTATGCACCATTGAATCATTATCTTTTACTAATTCCAAGATTATCAAAAAATCACAGATATCCACTATGGATTGAGTGGTAGCTTGCGTTCATCATCATCGTTAGACAGGACAGTGTGTCTATTTCGAATTATTAGATACCAGTGTAATCTAACCGCTTTGGTTTCAAATTTAATTTGCTATACCCCTTTTTTTGATAATAGGACCGTGACTAATCAGTAAGAGTGCAAGTCGCGTTAAAGACAATGAGGCTCGAATACACGAGGGCTTAACACCACAAAACTTTACGTTGCTATAACTTGATAGCTTGACTGCACAGCTGGAAAGGTAGTGGAACTGTCTACTGTTTACTGCTTTCCCTTCCACATGTAAACTTTCTTCACACACACACATACAAATTTCCACTTTACGGATCGTTTGACCGTGGTCTACATCTATTTTAAATGCCAATTAACGGACCGTTCTCCTCCGGGCTTGGATTACTGAATCGCCCCGAGAGACCTTTACGGGGAAAGTTCACTGTTAGGCGGATGCTTGGCAAAGTAACATTGTGCTTTCTAAACAACCCCCGATATGGGGACACTGGTGACACAGCTGATCCGTTTTATCTAATTTCTATTTTCACGTTGACCTCCATAGATCGCGTTGGTTGGGACATTTGTTACACATNGGTTGCCAAGGCTGGCAGCCGATGGGAATTGTCGAAGCCGGTTAAACTAAGACCTAGCATGAGGGTATGATTCTCATTGGACTCTCTGGATGGGAACACCGAGATTATGGTAACCGGTGATTAGATAGACTGATTAATATGGCTGGGTTTCGTACTCTTGCATCTACTCATTATTATTTGTAACCTCTGTTTGATTTTTTACTCTACCCCCTGACATTCCAATCTTCTTTCTGTTCTGCTATCTAAACCCGGACAGTCAAAAGACATCAATCAAAATCGGCACACGATNTTAGTGATTGCATCAAACTGAACTGGATTTCTTTCCGTCCCCCCGTTTTTTTTCCGAATTACGGAGAATCGATACTTCTCTCTCGATCGAAGGGAAATCGTTGTATTGTGTATATAAGTTTTGCAAACACTGAAGTTTGCATGTTAGTTAGTCGGTGGCTATACGAGATATTTGGAGACTGGCCAAGATAACTCTTGTTACAAAAAAATGAACCTGGGAAGTATCGTCTCATCGCCTGCACGTCAGTCATGCTTAAATTATTTAAAAGATGCTTCATACCGTGAGTTGTCACTGAGGCTGCCGAAGACAACATACATCAGCTTGCATATTGTTATTCGTGCTCAACACTTGATGCTGTTGCATACCTTGTTTATTCAATAATTTCGGCACAATATAAGAAAATTTAAACCGCTCAGAGTAGTGTTATTAGACTAAAAAAGCGTTTTCGATAGTCTTGATCGATCGGTATTGGTCAACCTGATTACCGAAAGTGGTGTTAATTCAACCGTTAGCTGATTGATCCGCGTTAATTTCACAAATTAAAGGCAGTTTACGTGCCTCAACCGCAAAAAGTCCTCCTTCTGGTGTTCTGCAAGGTGCAATATTTTCCCCATTTTTCTTTTCAATGTATGTTACACAATTTCTCATCCCTCCTACATTCATTGGCTGTCAATACGCAGATCACGCTGTTTTAGGTTGCAAAGCATCCACTCCTGAAGAGGCTTCAGCAATTCAAAGCAAGCTAAACAACATCGTTACTTGGTCCTTGTCCCCTTCACACTCATCGACTTTGTCTAAATGTCAGGATGGTGTGTTTTCTCTCTTGGCCGATGTACCGTATTCAGCCGTCACAGATAAGTTCCCCACTCTCTCTGTGTCAATCGTGTATCCGTGCCGAAATAACTTGGCGTCACATTATCACCCAACTTATCATAGTCACT